GATGGGGATGGAGATGGATGGATGGGTATGGAGATGGGTATGGAGACAGATGGGTGTGTATGGAGATAGATGGGGATGGAGATGGATGGATGGGTATGGAGATGGGTTTGGAGACGGACGGATGGGTATGGAGATAGATGGGGATGGAGATGGATGGATGGGTATGGAGATGGGTATGGAGACGGATGGGTGTGTATGGAGATGGATGGGGATGGAGATAGATGGATGGGGACGGAGACGGATGGGTGTGTATGGAGATTGGATAGATGGGGATGGAGGTGGATGGTTGTGTATGGAGATTGGATAGATGGGGATGGAAATTAGGTATCTGGATAAGGGCAGGCAGGTGACAGGTACATAGCAGGCAGAGGGACAGTTTCCCACTCTAGCCCCCGGATCCCCAGTGGGGTCCCAGGGATTGCCCAGCCAGGCTCTGCCTTCCCCTCTGCTGGTTTCTCTATGATATTGTTTTACCAGCCGGGGGGGAGGAGGGGTCTTTCCTGCCCTTCTGCACCTGCCGCTGAGCAGCCCCTTGGCCAGCCCCTGGTGGCACTGGGTGCCCCGCTGGCGAGCCCCATGGGAATCCAGCGCAGGAAGCCAGGAGACCCCGTTCCCCTCAGCCGGAGCGTGGGGCAGCTGGGGCCCATGCACAGCAGAGAGCAGTCAGGGGAAGGGCTGAAGGCAAGCTTGTTAATTTCACCCTGGGCTGGACCAGGTGTCTCCTGCTCTCAGGGATTAGCCTGGAAGGCCGGCTTGGGGCTCAGGGGGGTCAGCGGACTTGTGAGGCTTCAGCCCCCTTCATGCCCATCCCCTTCCAGAGTGGCATCTCCTGGCATCATGCTTGTGCCCTCTCTTTCCAACAGCGCCCCACTGCTGAGACACTGGCTAACCTCCCCCCGGCCCACCCCACCCCGTTTGCTCCAGGAGACAACAGTGCGCTTGCAACTCAAAGCAGGGAGTTTAGAATTACCAGGAGGGACGAGGGCTAAAGTTTCATCTTAATATCCCCAACTGAAAGCCCTGCTTTGTTTCTGAGTTGCTGGGGCAGAAACTGGGGGGGACGGGGGGGGACTGAGAGGTAGAGAGAGGGTTTCAAGCATGGATCCAAGAGCTGCCAAGGTGAGAGGGTGGGGGGGATAGGAAGGGAGAAAGGGGAAAAGCCTACCCCACTCAGCAGGTTGGGTGTGAGCGCCAGGGGGAGCGGACAGGTGGGGGAGGGTTGAGGGGGTGTATGTTTCCCTGTATGTAAAATCCTCACTGCACTTTGTGTGACTTGTACTCTCTTGAAAATGGTATATACACACACACACACACACACACACACACACACAAGATAAACAGAGGGGATACACACACGGACAGGACACACTCTAGCTGTGCAGGCACACACAAGATACACACAAACACACATAGACACAGATGACACCACACATACAGAGTATACACCCAAAGGCGGGATACACACAAGATACACACACACAAACACGAACAGGATACACACTAGATACACATTCACACAACACATGCAGAGTACACACAGAAGATACACCCACAATACACAACACACACATGCACAGGAGGTGTCCTAGAGACACACACAGATGTAGAACAGGTTAGGAATTTTCCAATACAATTATTTTTTGTTGGAAAAACGTTGATTTGTCGATAGTGAAACATTTCCCGGGACAAATTCCCCATTCTGTTTTTTGGGGGGGGGGTTAAAGGCATGACATTGTCAAAATGCAACGGTCCATTTTTAAGTTCAAAAACCATTTTGCATTTCAAAATGGTAGTTAGTTCACAGTTCAAAAAATGTAAAGCTGTTTTTTTAAAAAGGCCGACGTGGGAAGGAAACGGTTCGAGCTCCTACCCAAAGAACTCCTTTCGCTTGGCCCAACCTCCGTGATTTTTTTCAGATTTTCGGTTCACGGAAATTTACGGTGTTGACTTTTTGTGATGGGAACACCTCCCGAAATCTGGCAAATTCCTGCCTTATAGGTAAGCCCATCTCCCTCCCAGCCCCCAGGGTGCGTCTACACTGCAGCTGGGAGCGACCCCGGGGAGACAGACGTGCACAAGTGAGGGGCAAGCTGGCGTGCGACAAATAGCACTGTGGATGTTGCGGTTCAGGCGGCAGCTTGGGCCCACCTGACCTCCAGGCAGCTACCGTGAGTCTGGCTACCCCGGTTGGGAGGCTCGCTGACAGCTGCAGTGTAGACACACCCAGAGAGGCCACATGAGGTGCCTTTCATTTGGCACAAGACCAAGGACCTGAGTGCTGCTGCCTCCATGTATTGGGAAATGTCCACCCAGACCTGGCTTGGCCTTTTGGTCTTTCAGGCTGGGTTCTGTGCTGGAGCTGAAGGCACTACGGTGCCTGGACCTGCTTGGAATCGGGTCCATTAGCCACTCTCCCAACTCCCAGCCTGGGTCTCAGTGTCACATGGGGGGGAAAGTGTCCAGTCAAAGGCCTGGGACTGTGCACAGAGAAAGGGCAATTCCCAGCTCACTGTCTGGCTATTTATCTGCCCTGAGCACTTCAGCACCAACCCCCACGCACACTCTCACAAAGTAGGGAAAAATCAGTCTCCTTTTACAGATGGGGAAACTGAGGCACAGAGCGATGAAGGGATCACAGTGAGTTACGGGGCAGAGCTGGGAAGAGAACTAAAAAATCTTGACTCTCAGCCTCTCCCCTCCCGCAGCTCTAATCCACCAGCCTCCACTCCCCCGAGCTGGGGATAGAACCTGACTCCCAGCTCCAGACCACCCCCCTTCCTACTCTTTGCAATAGAACCCAGGCATCCTGCCTGCCTGTCCCTTGCCATAACCACTTCTTGTTCCTTTGTGCAGCTAACCATCAGCCCTGGGATTCCCCTTCCTGTGCCAGGGGGAAGGGGGACAGCAGAGGAAGGATAAGCCCATATGCCATTGTGCCCCGCTCCTGTGCCATCTCCCCGGGGAGTCGGTCGTGAGGGGCTGCTTGGCTCCACGACCAACGGGGGAGTGGACGGGGTCAATGCCAGTTCAACTGGCCTGTGTCCTCCCCATCCGCCTCTTGGTCAGTGAGCTAAGGGGAGAGGGACACATGTTAGAGGGGAACGAGCCAATCAGGCTG